GTCTAATTTAGTCATAAAACAATTTCAGATAACTAGAATGTAAGAGTGGTGAAGCCAAATAAATGTAACATCGGCCTGCCATACATTGAGCCTGTTGAACTGACCCTCTGCTGCTCTCAGAGCACAAGCCGACATTAACAAGATGGATTTATGACTTTTTATCCTCTCTGTGGGTAACAATACATAAAAACAAGTTTTTTCTCCGACAACTTGAGTGTGAAAAAACTACGGTTGTTAAAGCTTCGCTCTGAGCGACGTGCAGCAGGAGGGAGGGAGGGAGGGAGGGGGAAATAATCCCGCCACACGACGGCTTTTCTACAGGGGAGGGAGAAATTTTGAGGATTTATCCTTTCTATACGTGTTTTAAAATGCTATATTTCTTCATTTGTTTTCAGAATATTTTGAATAAATGGCCCTATAAAAAAAACTAAAGAAATTGTTTACCTGCCCTGTTGGGCAGGCAGCAGGACACACCCACCTGCCCGAATATGAGTTTTACCTGCGGGGCAATAGGATTTGTTGAACCCTGATCTGAATACTATTAACCCAAAGAAATAAAAGAAAACAAATGTTTATTTATTTATTAATGTGGCTTTACTCATTACTGACACTCAGACTTAAACACTAACAGAGTTGTGTGACTGTGTTGTGTATGTAGGGACTCACCTGTGAGCCTGTTGTTCAGCAGTTCACTGTACATGTCGAAGGCCTTTTTGCTGGCTCCATGCTGCACAACACAAACACACAGCTGTGAGTTTCCATGCTGGACTGAAAGCAGGTGTGTGAAGTGTTGTGTTACTGTCGGTACCTTCACCATGCCTCTGATCAGAGCAGAGTAACACCGAGTGTCTCTGTCAGGCAGCAGGTTGAAGATCCTCTCTGCGTTATTAGTCTTTCTCCAGCTGGGTTTCTTGATCCGTGTCTCACTCCACAGCTCCTGTTCTGACTCCTCCTGAAATCAACAAGCAGACACATCAGAGTGCAGTGTATCCACTCATGTCCCTGCTGTCACTCACTGAGGACTCACTGTGTCCTCCTGCTGCGGCCCACTTTCCTGGACAGGGTCACTGTCACCGTACAGACAGAGGAGGTCCAGCAGGTCATGGGTTGTGTCCATGGACACCACTGAGCCTGGGAGAAGACCATGACAGGGTATAAATGCAGGAGGCTGCCACAAACAGTTTTAAAGGTATGGTGTGAATTAAGTTCTGGTTCAGGTTAGTGTTAACAATAACCAGGGTTGTACATAAAATGTTTGTTCTGGTTCTCAGAGGAGAACCTGGGTTGTTGCTTGGTGCTCACTCATATTTTCCTTCACTCATTGAACACATTTATCTAGAGGGGTGTCAGGTCATCTAACGTCCCCCTGTTCTGTTTTATGACTCCTATCAGCTGCAACGTCTCAGGACATCATGTCAAATCAGTCCAACAAGTTTTTATTTTATTCTTTTACTCTGCATAAATGTTGTATCTAAGTGTCCGAGGGGCTGGGTGTATGTCATATAAACATCACAAACTGAACATTTC